TAGGTAAAAGGGTTGTTTATTTCTACAGACCATATCAAAACATAGATTTTTTTTTTTCTGTTTGCATAGTATTTTTCATGTATGTATTAATCATAGCCATTATACAGTATTCATGAAGTTATTCCAGGAAGTGAGAGCAAGTTTTTCTAATATTCCTCACTTACATACAGGAAATACTCAAAATCACATCTCTTCATTTTTGAAGTAAAATGATCTTTGTACTGAATCTTTTTTATTGCCCCAATAGGATAATTTCAGTCCAAAAAAGCCTCATTTTCTGCTACAGTAGTCAAATTGCAGTCATATTCTGGATTTTCCCATGGGAGCATATTTTCTCATGTAGGAACAGAACTAAACTGATGAATGCTTTCTAAAACAACAGTGGGAACCTCAGCTGAGCTCAGGACTGAAGGACTGACCCCATAGGCTCACATGAACAGACTTTGAAGGTCAGGTGGCTCTAGACTTGCAGAAGAAAGCATCAGCCCTGCTGAATGTATGTGGTGTGAAGTTGTCTGATTTTGGGGTAGCAGATGATGAATCAATGTCTTCATCTCTGCAGACATTTCCAAGCCTGGCTGTGGGGCTAACAGGGAAGCAAGGAACCTGAACAAGCACCTCACAACAGCCTCACCAGAACTGAAGACTGTCGTTACATCATCTTTTTGCCAAAAAGAAAAGAATAAGATACTTATCTCAAAAATAGTCTGTGAGTCAATATGCTTCAGCTCAGTAGCCCTGAGAAAAAAAATTTCTGGAGACACGAGTCTGTTTCACTATTGTGCACTACTCTGTCAGAGAAAAACATATTTCAGAAAACAACAGTGACTATCCCTCCCCATACAAAACATTCATAGAGTTCTCTACTTAAAAGTAGAGAACAAAGCAGAATAAGAGTTAATTATAAATATCTTGAAGTACATACATTGTCATTTGAAAATGCAATCTCTTTTTGGTATTCATTCCACTAACAACATATAAAATATTAACAGTATGAGCAGTTTCCAATTGCTTCCTGCCTTTAAAATAACGTTTTTAATTTCTGAGTAAGAGGAAGAAAACAAGTGCAAGCGAAGTCAAAGTTGAACCTTTTTTTTCCTAAAAAAAGGTCAAGTAAGCCATAGCAGTTTCCTAATATGATTATTCTGACATTTTCTGACTCATAATCTACTGAGTGTTCATTCACCTCTTGCAACTTGAAAGAGTCCTTGAGATCTGTAACTTCATCTGCATGCCAGTCTGCCAATTCTACACTCTTTAAAGTGGAATTTTCATTTATGCCAAGAGCTGAGCTGCATGGGGAGTAAAAGTCAGGAAAAATCAGAACTTTAAAGGATATGAAAGAAGAGAATTGCCTTTGATTTGGCACTAAAAATTAGGACTTGAGCTTTGTATGATTTGTGATGCGTGATAGGGGTATGGGCCATGGGGTTCAGGCCACAAAGTAAAAGTAAGTTTTTTATTCCTGAGAAAATTATGTAATAGAAAAGGAAAATACATATTGGGATTGCTTTCAGTTTTCTGAGGAGGTCCATCCTGAAAGAGCAGCAGTTGGAACTAAAGGGCTTGGAGCAGAGAGAGCCACAAACCAGCAAGAGGTTTGGAACCAGCAAGGGGTTCCTGCAGACCTCCTACAGCCTGGGTGTGAGGAGAAGTTCTGCAAAACCGAAAAAGTATGAGGAAGGCTTTATTTGTTCTTGTCCTCTCCCTTTCAGTTTAGCCTTGGAAACATCTGCTTTCCTCACATAGCCTAACTTAGCTGAAAAATTGTGAGAGACACACTGGATTATTATATTAATTATTGGTTCAGACAAACTCAAGTGTGTGTTTGAGGGGGAAGGGACAAGTTGAATTTCATGAAGGTGAAATGGTGCCCTGCTCCATACCCCAGCCCCTTGAAACCTCCTTGGCCAGCCCTGGAGCAGCTGTCACTCTGGGGTGATAGCTTTAATTCTCTCTTTTTCTCTCTCTTTCTCTCTCTTTCTCTACTACTTCTTCTTCTCCTAATCTCCTTTCTTGGTATTTCGGTAACTTAAAGCTGGATGGGTTAAGTTGTACGGGTTAGCATGTGCTAAGTCAATGCTTTGTGAAATGCTTTATTTTGGTTGAATGTTGCTCTTTAAACTTTTGCCAAGTTGCCTTATTTTCTAAAGTTTGCCAGTAAAAGTGTGTTATTTGACCTCCTGAGAAACGCGCAGGGTTTTCTCCCATGAGGTCTCTTAAGGTATAAAAGAACCGACGGCCTTTTTCATACATTCAGCAGTCGGATTTTTGGTGTCTTGTATAAAGTAAAACCCCTTTGATGGGCCCATAGCTAGAACCTGGGGTCTTGCTAAAATTGAATGGTGCCACATAGAGTTCAGATTGCTTATAGGCAAATTGTAAACTTGGGTTTATCATTCTAAAAACAGCCTGATTAATAAAATTATATTACTGTTACAAATCCTATTTCCAGAACCTGAGCTGCATTAAAAATCAGAGGACATGACTTGGGATTGCTATCAATGGAATAAACTGAAATACTTCAATAGAGGCTACTTGCAGACTGAAATTTACAATATCATTCTGTTTTTCTAGTCTTCAGAAATGTCAGTAATGACTTTGAAGTTACTGATATTCAACTGAATATCAGTATACTGAATATTCAGAATATCAATATACTGAAATTCAACTCATCCCCCTCCCCCATTAAAAGCTTATCTTAGCCTTTAAAAGGGTGTCTTTAACTTGTTTCCATCCTCACAGGTTGCCAAAGCCTACTTTTTGTCACTGACATATACAGAAAGGTCAATCAGTGTTTGTAATGAAGGTGTACATTTATCAAAGTAGACTATTTACACCTCCTTTGCAGTAGGAAGGTAAACACAGTTTCCAGAAGTACAAATATTATCACCCCTAGCCTCAAACCATCAAAAGTCTAGATTGTAAAATATTTGTTTCTCCTGTGATTGTCATCTAGCAGTTATAAAAAAAATTGACATTGGCATCCACTTATATTCAAACAGTATCTGGAACAAAAGGCAAGTTTCTCAAACATTACTGATCTTATAGGAGCCTTGCACAGAGTTAAATAAATGAATATTTCAGAACTATATTTCATTTCAATAACCTTCTAAAATGGCTTTCTTTACCATATCTAAACTACTGACTCAATTTTCCTATTCAGCAGTAATAAATGAAAAATTTCATATAAAGTTTTACAGATTGAAACACCTGCATGCACACAGTGACCATGTGACTGAGAAATCAATTGTTCCTACCACTTAGTACAGAGGAGTATTTAATAGAAACAACTTTTTGTTACTGTTTGTGTTACTTTGCACATATAAGTGGAAGAATTAATTACAAATATCATAAACACAATCTTAAAATAGCTTATATTGAGGGATGGGTTATGTACACATCCCTGGATGTGTATTAAAAAATACGTGGACAATAGTTAGGACAATAGTTAGTGGGGGATTTGATAGTGTTAGGTTAATGGTTGGACTCGAAGATCCTAGAGGTCTTGTCCAACCTGAACCTTTTTGTACATATTCTGTATACATAATCATATGAAAATACACATACAAATCACAGTCTTGCACATATGATATATGACTTGAATATTTTATGGAGCTCTCCCCAATTGTGTGTCTGTCTGCTGTAACTCAGTTTTGGACTCCTCCCTTTTCCTATACCCTCTGATCCACCACTGATTTACATCTAACTCAAATGAGCCTCACAAAAAACATGCTTGAAGAGTGAAACCAGAGAGGTTTTCTCTTTTCATTTTCCACATGCAATTTTTTAACATCTGGTGTATGTGGAAAGAAATATATGGTCTGTAACCTCAGTGCCTAGAAAGCTTAGAATTAAATAAAGCGTGATTTTAGACCAGAGCATAATCTTTCACTTGCATTTTGTTGGCAAAAAATGCCACAAAATAATGTAGAACATTCAGGCTCACTGAAGCATTTTGTCAATTTACAATATCTAGCTAAACAACTGTGACGAAACCAAAAAAACCTCTAGCAGACTCAAGTGTACAGTTCATTTCCTTAATTTAAGATTTTTGCTTAATTTAAATTTTACTTCAGTTCTAAAAATTTAACAGATGAAAGCAAACATCAGAAATGATGTGAAACATTTGATTTTGGATTTCTTGAAAAATTTGGTGAACAGACTCTTCTCTCTGTGTCTTTTTGTCAGATTTTTTTGATCTTAGTTTGTTTAGCTTCTAATTATGTAGATGACAAAAAACATTCCCTTGAGAAAAATACCTAGTTGAATGAGCATGGTATTATCTATAAAAATCTGTCGGCTGTACGTGATGGGATACAAAAGGAGACAGTACTGGAATAAATGCAATATTTTCTTGCACTGTGTCACGTGAACTCTACCATATCAGCATCCTAAAGAAGAAAAGCAAAAAGAGACCAGCGGTGCTGTAACACGTATTGACTGAATGAAGAGAGTAAACTGCACTCTTTTGTCAAGTTCACATGGAGAAGCTGGAAGACAGAGCTGGCTTGTACACCTGGGCCAGTACAATGCACATACACGAGTTACAAGGTGTGAAGGTGGCCAGGCTCCTTATTCGTGGTTTTTTGTATATCACAAAGTTTTTTGAAATCAGGGAACAGGCAAATAACCTTGGCTGGTGCTGTCATATCCCAATGACCTAGATCCTTTCTATTTTCTTTGATATTTGCATCTCACTGAGATGTTTTTTCCTTCCCAGAGTAAGGAAAGCAAATCAGTAAGTATTGGTTAAGCAATTGATAATTTTGCTTATACTGTTTGTAATAAGACAGAATCAAAGCTTCAATTCTGGCATGGTATAAGGAAGCAATTCACTCAGAGTGCTCAAAGGATGGATGCTGTTGCTATGTCTTCACACTTCTCTGGTTGTCAAAGTCCTTGTTTTCTGATTGACCTCACTGAACTACTATTTCCTGTTTTAATTAAGGCAGTTTTAAATAGCCCTCTGTTGACCAGATATTTTTTTTTTTTCACAGAATATTCTGAGTTGGAAGGAGCCCACAAGGATCATCAGGTCCAGCTCTCAAGTGAATGGCCTGCACAGGGATCAAACCCATGACCTTGGCTTTTGTAGCACCATGCTCTAACCAATTAAGGAGAAGTTGACCCTCACTAGATGCAAGTTCACAGAAGACAGAGAAAAAAATCTTAAATCTTCATTTTCAAAAATTGTGTTTTGAGAAGCAGGAATGTTGGGAAAAAATCTGGAAGGAGAATTGAGGATGGGGAAAAGGCAGAGAAGATAAAAAACACATCAGCTTTGGCACTGGCAAGGAATGGGGACTCAGGGATGCTCATTGACAGGCAGCTGGATATGTATCAGCAGTGTGCTCAGGTGGCCAAAAAAAACAGTGGCAGCTTGGTCTATATCAAGAATACTGTGGCCAGCAGGACCAAGGAAGTGATTTTCCTGCTGTACTCGACACTGGTGAGGCGACACCTTGAGTACTATTTTCAGTTTTGGGCCCCTCATTTCAAAAAGGATATTGAGGTGATGGAGCTTGTCCAGAGAATGGACAATGCTGGTTAAGGGTCCAGAAAACATGTCCTACGAGGAACAACAACTGGGGAAACTGTGGTTGTTAATCTGGAGAAAAGGAGACTAAGTTGGGACTTCATTGTTCACTACGACTACCTGATAGGAGGTTGTAGTGAGGTGAAGGTTGGTCTCTTCTTCCAAGTCTCAAGTGAAAAGATGAGAGGAAATGGCATTAAATTGCACCAGGGGAGGTTCAAATTAGATATTAGGAAAACTTTTTTCACTGAAAGAGTGTTTTTTCACTGGAATAAATTGCCAGGGAGGTAGTGGAGCCACTGTCTCTGGAAGTGTTCAAAAGGCATTCGGATGTGGCACTTGGGGTTATGGTTTAGGGGTGACTATGGTGGTGCTAGGCTGAAGGTTCAACCAGGTGATGTTGGCAGTCTCTTCAAACCTTCTGTAATTTAGGTTATTCTACATCTTTGTAGACTCTATACTTCAGTGTCTATATTTCCCTGTTCAGAGAACTGGCTGTTTCAGTTTTGTGTAGTGTCCCCATGCCTGGCGATAGTTTCTTGTCCACTAAATATTTGGAATGAGAAACAAATATTTGATAATAAAAAGAGAAATCACAGGAGAAAAGAAGTACTTCTCTAGAATCTAGTAATGGATTAAGAAATCGGTCTACCATAGCTCGGGAATAATAGCTTACCATCCTTATTGTCAAAAGAGACTTTGGTGTCAATTTCTTTGTAGATTTTTCTTTTCCTATATTTTGTTTAACAATGTATTTCAGTTTTGTATTAGCTTTTATTATGACAGAAAAATATTGGATATGATAAAGTTGACTAGAAAAATGAGGGTTAATCTCTTTGATACTGATTTAATTAAGCCCTGCAGAAAGATACTCCCTTTAAGAGAGAAGATTTTTTTTTTTATTACAGAGAAGCAAAGACATATTGAGATTCTTTTGGAAATCCATGCTTTTCTAAAGAAAAGCAGACAAGCTACAGAGACTTTGTCTATGGGCAGAATATCTTCTAGACACCCTGAAAGTCAAGTCAAATTGGATTTGTCTGAAATGGCTATGGTAACTGTGAGTAAACAGAACATTTTAAAAAAGAAAGGAAGTTTGATTTTTGGTAGAAAAACATTAAAACTGCCACACCAACACCACTATGAATGTCTTCATCCCTAGTTAGGTTTTTTTTAACTTATCTTTGTTTCAGTGCCTTTTTCTGGCCATGACTTTGCTGCTGGGGATACTAATAGGGAGAACAAGACTTTAGCTAGCTTTAAAAGATTCATCTGGACAAACCTTATCGTCTCCAAAATCAATTACTACATTCTCTATTGTCTACTGAATAATTGCACTGAATAAGTGCACCAAATGTAATTCCATTGATGTCTGGTGATTTCTTCATTCCTGAAAAGGAGATTTTATTTTTCACTTCAACAGCTCATGATTTATATTAGTGAATAGATTCTTTCTTAGTCCCCAGAGAGTCTTTATAAACAACTCTGGCCTCTCTGACCGCACACTTCTATCCTTATCTATTGCTACAGCAGCACATTAACATGTTCAAACAATAGTTCATAGACACCAGTGTTGCAACAGAAGTGCTTTTATGTGTTTTGGTTGAAAGCTTTTCTCTGAGGAATAATTATATTCTTAGCCATTAAGAAGAAAGAAAACTAAATTAAGTTCATTGCAGCTGTATTGAGATACAAATGTAAAAATTGGAAAGGGGGGCCGTTCAATAGTAGTTTGTCTCCAATAATATGTAAATTCTGCTCCACCAAATCTCAAGTTTTCCTTAAATTATTGCTCTATCTTATGGTAGAAGTAGATTCTTCTTCTTTTTTGGTTTCCTGGTTAACTCATTTGGTCTCATGGGAATTTCTAAGGATAATGAGTCTCTTTGATGAAGAGATGCTCTGAATAACCACAATCTACATACCCAACACTGAACAAAAGGTTAATGATTAATCAGTTTTCAGACTAATCTGTAAATTGGAATCAGCTGTCAAAATGCTGGTGACATGGTGTTTCAACCACGTCCCAGAAGATTTCACAACATCCAAATTAGACAACTCACTAAATATGCAGGAATACCAAAAGACATCAAAATAATGCTGAAAACATCACATCAGTGAAGGAGGTAAGCTAGCTGAAGAAAAACAACGAAGACATGGAGAATGCCTCAAATCCCACCTTGTCCCAGAATTTCAACAGCTACCTCTAGCCTGTGGGAGACCCGTATTGACTTTCCTACTGTGATGATTTGGACACCTTCTTTCCAAGAGATTGCCTTGTATTCAGAGACGTGTGCCAGCCACATCTCTCTCTTTCTTCAGCACATACCATCTCACCCACACTCCAGGCACCTGCTTCATATATTGATTTTAGACAACTGTGAGAGTTTCAGATATACCCTATATTCTTCCTTTCTAAGTGAGCACTTGTTCTCATTTGGGTACTGTAGGTGTTCATATCTTGCAATCCATTTACTTCTAACATAAATACTTACAAATATTTGACATTTAGAAGTAGTGTTATACAATTAGAGTTGAAATTACAGTAGAAGACTTTTAAAAAAAAATTTAAAGATTGTTTCAGTCTACAGATGTATACAGAAAAATACATATTTTTTGACTCATAACTCATTTAGGTTAAACCTTGAGGGGTTCTGTGAACATCGTACATGAATAGTCTGACAGATGCCTGGTTAACACATTAAAAAATTATGGAGATTTGTGTATGGACAATGAACACTTTTAATAATTTCTTCCTTTTTTATTTGAAAGATTAATCCATAACTAGATTTTTAAATGGAGGCTTTCAAAGTCTGAAAAGCAGAGCTAGGAGTGTTATTTTTAGATCACATTTCAGTACACTTTTTCTTTGTACAGCATTGATGAAAAAATTATCAAATTATGAGAAATTAATCACTCCTTTTAAGAAATTATTATTTAGTCTCCTCTATTAATAAGCTTCCAGGCAAAATTGTTAAACACTATTCAGATACTAGTTGTTTCGGTGACCTGGTAATATTTGTACAACTTAATTTATTTTGTAGTAAGATTTGAACTGAAACAGATCAGGAACATAAAATACCCATAAATGCAGATTGAGGAAGAGTTGGATGTCAGTGGAAACAGCAAGAATTATATTTACTAGGATTTTAGAAGTTTTAGTAGAATTTGTTTTCTTTTAATTCATGGCCATTAGTAGTTTTTCTTGCAATGGGTTATATTTTAGTGCAAATCTTATAGATGTAATAAATTTAGACTAGGTTTTTTAAAAGACGTAAAAGGTCAACCGTCTAAAAAAGTCAGCCAGAGTTGTTCATTATTCTAGAAAAGCAAGCAATTTGAAGGCAACCACTGCTTATTTTCTAAAGTACAGCTTTACCATCAGTGCCATATCTTATTTTTTAAAACATCATCCAGCTCTGTCCAATAGCCAAAGAAATGTTAATTCAAAAGCCTCCATCATCCAAAGACTCGGTTCACAGATGGAGCTCGGTTCTAATTGACAAGTGTTACTGTGTTCCTGGGCTCCCTTTTGGACTGAAGTGACTGGTTTGCTCCATGTCAAAATCCAGGTGTTGGTCTAGTGATTGTTCACTAGAGACTTTTTGCAATATGAGAGATGGATCTGACAAAGGGGCAGGGGCTCTTTCCCTCTGACCTTCACAGGTCTCCAAAGTCCAAGAGGCCTTTAATTCCTAAATGTGCCCACAGAAGTACCTTGTGCCCCACCTGTGGCATGAAATGGAGTAAACCCTTGATTTCATGCTATATACAACATGAGTGTTTTGAATCAGTAGAAAAGAAAATGTAAATAAAGAGAACAAATTACAACTTCTGAGGGCTGCAGCCACTCAGAAGAGGTCTGAAACAGGTCTAGATTCACGTGCGGTCTTCAAAGCTTTGGGAAGGCAAGCAGAAGCCAATCTGCACTGCTTGGGAGGAAGGCAGGGACTGCAACCAGGGGAAGGAAGACACACTTTTCAGTATAGAGACAGCCATACGTATACATACATACATATATATATATATATATATATATGTAAGTGGCAGGCTGGTCTTTTCTTTGCAGCATAGCATTGTCTTACTAGCATAAGACAAAATTTGCTTTTGTTGATGAGAGGAAGAGAGAAGTTAAGTAGTAGAAATTACCTTCAAGCAGTTCTAATCCTGATATGTTCAATGCCTGTGATATATTAATGTGTCCCAAGAGCTTGTCTAAATGAACTCCCATGGCCTCCCTCTTTTTTTCTGTTGATTTAAATTATATAACTCAAATGTGCAGGAATACACATGAAGATCTCATCCCACATGTTCACATAATAATTATGACCTGTCCTACAGGCAGTACTCCCTTAAACAGCTGGAAGAGTGGGAAGACATCCTCTGTTTCCACGTGCATTACCAACATAATCCTGTCATGGCTGCAGCAAGGCCCAAGGGACTTTTTGCTGTTTGCATAATTTTTCTGTATTAAGACTTATGATACTTATCAGATATATTGAAGTGATAGCTACTAAGAGCTTGTTAATAGCTCACTAGAGTGATGTTCTGTAAGAATTTGGCAGAATTATTATTTATTACAGTGATGAAAAATCCTTGATAATGCAATTTGTAAAATAGTCAAACTATTGTCTTCGAGTGGTGGGTAAAAAATAGTGCCAATAATTAAATTCAAAAGATGGGTATCGGAAAACTTAACAAGTTGGATCATTTGCAGCTCTTGTTAAGTGAAACCCTTGATTAACATTTCCCAGTTAGCTGCCAAGAACCTTTATAAGGCTCATTAGGAGAGGCCATTCAGAGGAAGAATACACTGACAAGCAAATTGGAAAGAGGAGTATTGAAATTTTTTTTACAATATTTATTTACATCAAAAACAGATGCTGGTGGCAACATAGTATAGTACATTGCTGAAAAGTTAGAGCAGGTATGGTATAGCTCCTCCCATCAATACATATGTGTGAACATACACAGAGGAGATTATCTAGCTGACATGTCTTTGTGAATTATCAGCAAGGTATTGCTGTAAAATATGCAATCTTCAATAATGGTTCACTGCAAAAAGATTATACCAATGCAGTTATGGCCCCAGAAATGTAGAAAACCAGTCTAACTTCTTACGATTAGATTTAGGAAGCTGACGTCCAACCTTATATGCAATTTACGCCTTATGTCTGTA